ACTGTGCATAAAAGGGAATCCGAAGGCTGCCTGTGAGCTTACACCTGGTCCCAGTAGAGCCTCCTCATCAGCATTCCCAGCCTAGTCTCAGAAAGCTAGGGAAAGAATCTTGCAAGCACAGAAGAATAGATGCATTTCTATGTCTTCTCCAAGCCTAATCTGATTATTTTAATCTATGTATCTTAATATGCCTCTCCAGTGTTCTGACTATCTTACTTCCTTTTAAGAATGCTTCTGAAGAGAATTAATACAAGCAATCTTTGATAAAAGTTATCTGCCACAAAAAAAATAGCAAGGGCCTTCTGGACATAATTCAATTATCAAAAATTCTAATAGGAAATTTACAAAAAGATCTGGAACACTGGTGGGCTAAAACATGTTTTAGAGCCAGAGGCATGGCTCAAGTGGTAGTGTGTAGAGAGCAAGGCCTTGATTTCAATCCTTAATATTGCTCCCAAAACAACAGACAAAACTCCCCGCAAACCGAAAGTATATGTGTTCTTAGCTGTTGAAATAACTGGGGAGAAAATCTGTTAGAATATAGTGTCCTTTAAGCAAAAGAAAGGCATAAGAAAAATGTTAGTATAGTAGAATTATTTGAGAAAACATAAATAGAAAAAAATGTTTTAAAACTACCAAGGCTTAAGAGCATTTTTTCATAAAAGGTTAAAATCATGACTTTATGCAAATACAAAAATAAATACACGTTTTCAATTTTCTTCAAGCTTACTAATGAGTGATCTGGTTAGATGCTACAACTGGCTAAAAGAAAATCCAAATAACAGACACATTAAAAGTTGGGAAGGTTGAAATGAATAAGCAAATGCAAGGTGCAGCTCAGCTTTTTTCAGTCAGTGCTCCATGACTTATACTTTTATAGACAAGAACTATTTCTTTGATAACTCCCTTTAGGGGATATTGCAAATCACCTAAAACCAGGGGGTAGTAAAGAACTCTAGAAACACTATGTTTTTTTTTAACATCCATACATATCTTATGATAGAGTTGATAATTAGAAACAAGAGGTGAGCAATGATAACTAAGAGAACATTTATAATCTTCACAAAAATTATGTGACTGTGGTCTTTCTCAAGCTATGAAATTTTCCATGGCATATTTTCGGACTATATTTGATCAGGAGCAACTAAATCTACAGAAAGCAATCCATAAATAAGGGAGACTAAGCACTGTTATTTACAACGTACAGAACTAGAAAGTAGCTCTCTACAATAAGGATTAGCCAATAGAAAATGGCATGAAATAGATGGCGGTGCACAGTTCCCCATGAAAACATACTTTTGTTCCAGACATGGATCACTATTGTATTCGCTTATTCTCTTAGTCTGGTACTTGGTAGATTGCTCCATAAATACTTGCTAAATGGATGAATGTCTACTATGTGTCAGTATTAAACTAGGCTCTTCACATATATCATCACATTTAATCTTACCAACAACTTTAAAATAAACAGTCCCATTCCTCTTCGAATAACCAACTTGTGACATGCAGTTAGGATGTCTTAAAGGTCGGGGTAAAGAACAGCTGGAGAGACTTGACTCAGACCTATAATCAGAAAGCACCCCATCCTTTTAATTTTTTTTGTTGTTTTCCTCTCCATTTAAGATACATTGTTTTTATTTACCACCACTGCACCGAGTACTTCTAAATCACAGGATTTTTAAAAATAGGTTACACTGGCATTCCATGCTTCCTCAATGAGCACACTATTGAAGCTATGTTTTAGGAAAATTAAATAAGTAAATAAGTTGAATAAATAAACAGCTCTCAGGAGAATCTAGGTAGAAATAAGAGACCAGAGAAAACGCTTGTTTGCAGCCTTGCAGATGGGACAGGGTGTCACCAGCCTAGCTTGTTTTGTTTCTGCCTTGAGGCACTCCTTTCCCAATTTTGCAGGATGATAGAGCTAGATGAATTCAACAACGTGGATGCCAGTGATTTTGTTTACACAAAACCCAGGACAGGACTTAGGATAACAGCAGCAATTCCCAATCATGCTATGCTTCCAGTGACTTGGGCTCCTTTCACAGATACCCGGGGCGGGGGGGGGGGTACTATAATCATTTGCTTTACACAGTACAGCAAGCTGAAGTGAACTAAACAGCTTGGGCAGGATTGTGGATCAATTCTGCAGCTCTAGACTTGCCCCTCGTATCCTCCTCTTCTGGCATCTCCCTAAGTCTGTTGAGGTTGGTTTTGTCATTACATGTTAAGTTTTTACAAGTATCTTAACTCTGCTTCTATGATAGCCTCTAAAGATTTGGGAATTCCCATAGCTTCCCACATCATAGGGCTAGTAGCGATACACTGGTTCAAATCTATGAAGCTGTTTTCTGGCCATTTTGGAGTTGGGGGTATCATTTGATTAATTAATACCTACCCTGAAAAAGGCAGAGAGATCAGTGAACAAAAATAGAGGTTTTCTCAGGTTTTTAATGTCAAAAAATGTGGAACAAACAGATTGTTTAAATAGGGATACAGGCTGACCCATTGCAACAATGAGATGTACAAGACGCTATGTCGAAAAACGAACTTTAGGGGCTGGGAAGGTGGTTCAGTGGTAGAGTGCTTGCCTTGCATGCCTGAGGCCCTGGGTTCGATTCCTCAGCACCACATAAGCAAAAAGAAAAAAGCCGGAAGTGGCGCTGTGGCTCAAGTGGTAGAGCGCTAGCTTTGAGCTGAAGAACTGAGGGACTTTCCCAGGCCCAGAGTTCAGGCCCCACGACCGACAAAAAAAATGTCTATAATTTTGTTGCTTTAATAGCTGGGCTATAATATTTAATCTTCATGCAACTCTGAGAGTGTGACTATTATCTTCATTTGGGATGTGAGAAAGTAAGGTAAAATAACTTGTCTAGGTCAGTCAGTTTGTCCAAGATCCAAAGATGGTTCTGATTAACCAACACTAGAGCTGTTTTGTGGAGATCAATAGTGCCACCCAAACCAGTATGATAACAGCTTGTGACATACCTCATTCTTACACTCGTTTTCTTAGTTAGAGGACCCGGGAAATGGTGCCCTTCAGCAGCACTGAAGATCTTGAAGTTCTCAGGGGTGTACTGCTTATCCTGCCCCAGCCCTTGTAAAACTTGCCTTTCCCTCAGTGGGCATGGCATTGTTCTCACTCCTCATAAAGGAAACTGCTTCTTTCAGAGAGGCTGGTGAGAATTCTCTATCATTACTACCACTCAGGCCTCAGGGGACATAAGCAGCCAGTTTGATCTGATGAGGACAGCTGTCTTCAGGTGGACGGTTACTGACTCACTGCTCTCTTTTGGTGGAGCAAGGGCTTATCTCACATACTGGAGGCGGGGGGGGGGGTGTAAAACATAAAATCTTGACCCTTGTAGTCTAGGTTAAACACCCTCAATGCCTGCAGGACTCGAGGAATTTCATCCGAAGGACCATTAACTGTAGTAGAGAGTAGAAATACAATAAAGGATGATTTTTACCTTGAGTTGAGAGAATTTCACTGTCTTGTTAACTCAGCTGGAGCTACACCTGGGTGTGTTCTTTGCCTATTTTTACATCAACGTGGACAGCAGAACCTAAAATAATCTAGTTCAGAACTTCTTTTTTAAACATCTAGTGCTAAAACCCACTTTCCAAGTACAGTTTTTTTGTATATGGGGTATGTAAAACAGACTTAAATTGAACTAGTTTGTGTGGCACGCCCACCTCAACCGAAAATACATCCTGGTCCCTTTGGTGGCCATGGGCTCCAATGAACATACTCTGAAAATCTGCAACTAAGTCCTGCTCTAGAGAGGTGAAGGATCAAGCCCTGACTGCAAGCTGCAGAGGAACTGCCAAACAGACACGTTTATGCTTAATGCATTCCTTTCAAAGTAAGAGGAGTGACTTACTCACTTTCCCAAACAACAGTTTTTTTCTCAGCCCAAAGAAAAGATCTGGAAGGGATTCAGGACTCTCAACATTGCTTCCTCTTTAGAGTCCAGAAAGTACTCCTTCTCAGTCCTATCTTCCATTGCGGCCTTTGCCAAGCAGGTGAGAGGGGCTCACACAGGAAGGCTCTCAGACATATACTTACTAAGCACTCTTAATGCATGAGGTGTGGGCACATTTGCTTTACCACCCATCCTATCCCCTATACAAATATCCTTGATCTAAATGGAATCTTCTATTTCCTTGTGCCCATCCTGAGGCTTGAAGTCAGGGCCTCATGCTCTCCTTTGGCTTTTTCTGTTCAGAGCTGGCACTCTACCACTTGAACCACACCTCTACTTCTGGCTTTTTGCTAAGTTAAATGGAGACAAGAATCTCACAGACTTTTCAGCTCTGTGTAGGCTTTGAATTGTGATCCTCAGATTTTAACTTCCTGAGTATCTAGGAATACAGATGCGTTCCACCAGTGCCCAGCTTCTAAATGGAATCTTAATTTGTGCCTTCAAGGTATTCATCCTGGAACCATGAGCTATTATGTTTCACTTCAAAACCTTGAACCATCTCTGAGTATGGACGTAAGAGGGTTTTCTTCAGGGAAGTAGATGGAAGGATAGGAATGGCAGAGAAATTATCTACTACAGTTTTCAACATCACTGGATACACCTGTATCACTTACCAATTAAAAAGTCATTATGCTTTAGCTCAATAAGAAAAAAAAAAGATTTTCCTATGTAGAATATCTTCCTATATAAATCCTGTTACCAAGTTGGTTTTTAAGATTTTAATTATTTTGGCCTAGTATTTGCCTGCTCTTGTTTCCTCTAGGACTCCTCCACTCCCCCCAGCCCCCAGATATCAGTTAATGTTGCATACTCAAAATCCAGTTTCCTCTAAGAACCATTTAATGGTTGTTAAGTATCACAGTTTGTGTGGATCTGGAGAGTATCATCGCCCTTCAAGTAAACCCATGCCAGAAAATTACAGCAGGAAGATGCTATTTTACTGTGAGGGTGTGGGAAAGGTCACTATGCTGGGGAGGGAGTAGGGGACAGTATCTTAGATACTGCATACTTTACCCGTTATGTCATGTTGTTTGAATGACTCGCTGTAGATCTGATACTGATTTGGACAATGTTTCTTCAACCATTTGCAGACATCCTGCTGGGTCCACAGAGCCACTGGCTTTGACAGCTTCACCGTAGCTGACTATAAATAAAGAAAAAAGAAGGTCTGTTAATGCCAGCCTTGGGCCTGGAGAAGCAGTACCACCTAATGTCCTAGAGTGTAGAAAGGCTATAGTGTGGATTCCTTGAAGATAAATCTCTGGCTCTTGTCCTCTTCCTCCTCACCTCTGCAAAGCTCTTCAGTGTTGCTAAAAACACAAAGAAAGGGTGCAGGAAGGGAAAGCCATAGAAATTAGATCAATTTTTGAGTTATCACTACTGGGAAAAAATTCTTAGGAAGCACTGTTTTCTACTAAAGAGCAAAACAACAAGATTAAGGAATTACAAAGTGAGTTATTAGGTTTTAAGGGTAAAATAGCAGTCCCCATGAGCCTATTTTTGTATTCCAAGAAGGTGCCCATCTCTTGTCTTCGACACCCCTAGGACCTAGAACACCATTTGTCCCAGCAGGTGCAAATAATTATTTCAGAACTGAATGTTATAAGATGTAGTTACCAGCATACTAAGAAGTCAAGTCTCCCAGGGCGCCCTGGAGGTAAGATGGCCCTGCAAAGCTCAGGAACATTAGTTATGCCACAACGGAAGGTAAGAAGTCAATTCCACGTACCTGTGAGGAATGGTAATAAGATCATGCAAGTGGTAAGGACTTTTACCACTCACTGGATCTCTTACAGGAGTGTTCAAAAGTGGGGGACCCCCAAGCGAAATAAAAAGCTCCTCTTTTGAGAAATAGTAGATGGTAGATACATTTATTCATTAAGCATAGGCCTGTGCCAGATGTTGGTCTCCCTCAAGATCTCAGGAACTGGATTCCAGAGAGATGAAAGCTTCAATGTCAGTAAGTTTTATCATTCTGGGTTAGTGTCGGCAAAAAGTGGAGCCAAAATGTTCGTAGTTCTTTAAAGGATCTTGAGTAATACAAAGATTGGGCCTTAAATATCAAAGTCCTCTACCAGCCATCAGATTCCTCCCTTCTTCCCTTGTGTTCCCTTCTGTTCCTTTCCTTTCCCTTCTCTCCCTGACCCCTTTTTTTGGAGACAGGTCCTTATTACGTAGTATAAGATGACCCAGAACACAACTATGTGGCCCAGGCTGGCCCTGAACACACGATACTCCTGTCTCAATCTCCCAAGTCCCAGTATTACAGGCAGAAGCCATCATTCCAGGCTCGAGGCATCATTTTTTTTTTTTTATTGAGGCAAAGTGAAAGCCAGAACTTGATGAATTATGATTTAGTGTCTTCCAAATGCTAAGATTTGTCTTTTTTTTTTTTGGCAAAATAAAGCTTGTTTTAGGTTCATACAATTCAGTAGGAAGAAATATAATTGGCACCAATTACTGTTTTGTTCATTATATTTAAGATTATCTTCATTTATAGAAAATAAATAGTGGAATAAAATGTATTTTTCTATAGTAGGATATAGTTTGTTTTTAAAACAAATTTTAATAAAAAGGGTCCAATTTTAAGAAAAAATAAGATAACAGTGATACAGATGGTGAGAAAATAATAGAAAACCAGTGGGGGGGAAAGAATATACAGTGAATCAAAGTTTCAAAGCAGAGTGCTCAGCTATTATTGCTTAAATATTTTCAATTAATTATTTTTAATTCAATTAATTTCATTCACAAAATAATTACAAACAATAATCATCAATTTTTAGTTTGCCTTAATACTTTTTTTCATTCTTATCAAGTATGACAGACTGTCTTTTCCAAAGATTCCTGTATATATGTATGTATATATATATATATATGTAAGTATGCGAACATACTGTGTACATTACTTATTCACCCCCACACTCCCACACTCATATACTTTTCATTCAATGTGATTGGTATTACTTCCACTAATATTTGGAGCTGATGTATTCCTTGAATTTTGGCAGGGAATGTGACCATCCTGACCAATGGAGCATGGTGAAATTGAAGCTATGTGACTTCTCAGGCAAGTTTACAAAAATATCACAACTTTTGCTTGGCTCCATTTATTCTTAAACTCAATTGCCATACTGTGAGGAAGCCCAGGCCACATGAGGAGACCATATGGAGGGATTCTGGCCCAGCTACCAGCTAAGGTCTTATGAAAAGCACTAGCAACCATTAGATAAAGGAGGACAGAGTTTCAGATAATTCCAGTCATCAGGTAAATTCTACCTAATAATTCTACCTTCAGATTTTATCTAAGGTCTCAGATGCCATGAAGCAGAGACATGGCTGTTTGTATGTGCTCACTAATTCCTGACCCACGTTAGTAAACATTATAACTGTTTTACTCCACAAGGACTTCTTGTAATTTGTTATACAGCTCTAGTAACTATGGTATATGCTGGGTGAGGAGTAGCAATTGTCACTCTATGATCTCAGAGTGCCTTGTACTCAGTAGATACTGGGTGCATGTCAAAGAATACAGGAATGAGTCGAAACAGCACAATTTTTATTGCATCAGTGTTTACAGATCTGCCTCACTGCAGCATCAGTGAACTTCAGGTCACCTTCTGGCTAAAGTTCTCTACAGTAGGTAGTGCCCACGTGGTTCTGAACCAATCAAATATGTGCTTTGTAGCTGTTAGGTGATCCTGGGGAAAATGTCCCCTTTGCCCTTTACTCTCTCTCTGAGGCCCTGTCTAAGTCCCCGTTGAACATCTGTCACCCAAGTAACTGGCACACCTGGGGCCAGTGGGAGGTCCCCTAAACTCTGAGGTCACTTCCTCTTCCTCTGATGTCACATCCCCATCTGCCCAGGTCATGCCTCCTTTGGGTGGGAGAGGTTCTCAGGCTCTGAGGTCACTTCCACATCTGCCACAACCACTCCTCCTCCCTGCCCTCTCCCTATGTAACTGTTCTCCCTCCCCTAAATTCCCCCCTCCGCTTGCCTGTATCTCGTGTGGGTTGGGGTTTGGTTCTGCTGATAAACTCTCTTCTGGCTGGACTGCATGGAGGTCTCCTTCCTCCAAACCTGAACAATGGCTCCTAACAAAATGTGGCTGCCTCCAATTGCACCTTGGTCTTTGGTGCTGCCAGCGATTTTCCTTCTAACTTCTTTATGAAGTTAAGAAAACATACTGATTGCTTTCCTAGTTTTGAGGAGAGGAAAATCTTGGACACAGAGGGTGGAAACGCGTGCATTTTCGTGGCTGATGTTTAGTATTGTTGTTCTTTATGTCACCATCCCTTCTGTTCCTTTGCATAATTAGGAAGGTAGAATTTAAAAATCTTTTAGGTAGAAATGCATTTACCTCCATGTTTTACAAGTCAGCATGAATGAACTAGGTTCTTTGCTGCTCTGAAAACTTGCCTTCAGATTAGTTGAATGAGTTTTGAGCTGACACATCATTGCCCTGAAACTCCTGCAAGTTTCTTGCAAGTAAAGCTAATCACATTTTTTGAAGACTCCTATAAACCAGTCACGGAAAGTTGTAAATTATGAAGGCAAAGGCAGGAGGATGAAGTTGCTTATACATCAATATATTAAACTTCCTTCCTCCTGAAAGGTCATTCTTTACCTTGCTAATTTCCTCAGGGACAGAGGACTCTGCACCAAGACTAGCACATTCAACTGGGCTTCGGGTGGTAACTTATCTACATGTGCCAAATCTCCATACCAGACCATGTATGCTTCTGCGATACATTTTCCTTTTGCTATAAACTTAGTGAATCTGGAGCTGCCTTACTTTCCCTTCAGAGCATGTACTAAACAAGTAGTAATTTTGGATTACTTGCTTGGACAGTGATAAACTCAAAAGCTCAGGCCTGTATGCACTTAGAGAAATAGGCATATACATAAACTGGAATAAATGAAATGGAGGATAAGAATTTGCACCATTAACAATCACTGTTTCATCTCTCGGTCTCTCACTTTCTGTCTGTCTTGTCGGCCTCTCTTTTTGTGCCAGTCCTGGGGCTTGAACTCAGGGCCTGACCACTGTCCCTGAGCTTTTATTTTTACTCAGAGTTAGTGTTCTACCACTCGAGCCACAGTTCCACTTCCAGCTTTTTTGGTAGTTACTTGGAGATAAGAGCTGGCTTTAAAACATGATGCGTAGATCTCAGGCTCCTGAGTAGGTAGGTTTACAAGGTAAGCCATTGGAGCCAAGATACTTAATGGCTTCTTAAGCAAGATGCCACACAAGTCTTGATCTTATGGATTAGTTGATTCTTGGCCTTGGTTATATTATGAAATTGCCATTTGTTTGTTGCACAGTTACTTGTGAAGAGCCATAATGACTGACTCCTATCTGTTCTACTTTCTAGTTTCCTAGAGCCAATCTTCATTTATCCTATCTGCCCCTCTTTTCTTGTAGTACCTAAATAAACCTTCGTCATCCTTTCCCTCCTCCTTCCCATCATCATTTCCCAAAGTTTGGAACTGAATACCATATCATGATAGCTTCAAGAGCTAACCTTCCCTTCCATGTCCAACTTAGAACAATAAAGAGAAGTGTATTTGAAGCACATCAGTGGGTTGAAGGTAGGAACTAGAGGTGTGGAGGTGTCTCATCCTTCTACTGGTCACTTTTCCTGGACCTTTCAATTCATACTTTACACTAGGTGATATTTTTTTTCTTTTTTAATATATTTCAGATCTTTTTTAAAAAAATTTTCCCTGTACCCACTCCATAGTAGGGGTCTAAAACAAAATAATAATAGCTCACACAGCAAAGAGAAAGTATTTCACATTTCCTAGGAACAGTAAACTAATAAGAAAAAAACCCATCTTGCCCAAAGGCAAACATTAAAAAAACATTTACCCAGTTTTCTTTCCCCCTGTTCACGCCTACCACATCATTCCTGAGTTTACAACCCTGGAGACAATTTTGGTTTGTTTTGCTGCTCTCAAAGAGGCCGGAGGCAGTTTATTATCTTAACCCCTACGTTTTGTGACACCAAGCAAATTCCAGACATTTCCTAGCTGAATCAGGCCTGGGCTTTCTTGTAGAGAAAAATGAAATTGCATTTTAGATGCCTTTATTTTCTATTTTTCAGAGAGATATTATGCAAAACAGGAAATGGTAAATTTTTTTC